CACTGATGAAATGTTGCAAGAATGAACTCCGCCCCAAAGGGCTGGGCGTGAATAAATACTATAAGTTCGGACGCAGACCGTTGAGACTTGAAGGCACAAGGGATTGGCTGGGAACATTGATGGTAGCCAACATAGTAGACTCAGCCGTGATGAAGTCTCTGAATACTTTTTTTCCTAAGAGTGGTCGCCTTTGTGATATTATGCGATGTTCTATCCGGACACAGCGAAGATGGCCTACAGAAAAATCGCTCCTAATTCGGAGCTAATACTGAGGGTGTATAGCTTTCAAAGAAAAAGGAGAATTCGAAGTGCTATTCACGCATAGCAAATTGCTCACAGAAAGAGGAGCGCCCGGCGTAGCCGGGCGAACCCATAAAAAGGAGGGAAGCCCGGCGTTAGCCGGGCGGCCCGACTGGTTTATCATGACCGGCGTTTAATGGTTTCGGTCTTTTGAAACAGCGCTCCTAATGTTTTTCATGAGTGATTGTAGGTAAAGTAATGCCTATGCCTATGCCTTGGTTTTCAGGCTGGAAGTAGCTTTGTGGGATGGTAAAACGAAATACAAAGTAGAGGAAAGTGAAGAAGACAGGAAGCGACGATTAGCAGCATGGCAAGATTACATAAAAGGAGACAGTGATGATGATGACGGAGCCGCGAAGAAAGAGAAGGTAGCCGACGAGAAAAAGAAAGAAGTAGAAGAGAATGTCAAACAAGACGAAGCTGGAGCTACACCTGAGAAGATACCGAAACTCGATGATAATCCACAATAATTTTTGTGCCATTTTTTCACAATGCTGTTCACGTTGTAATTTTGAAATTCATTCTTGAACATTTTGTCCCAGTGATCTTGAAATTTTACGGTTATTGATGTTAAAAAATATATTACTGCTTTCTTAATTCACTAAAATGTTCAAAAAACTAATCATCAATATAAATGTAATTACACGTCAATTTCATAATGCATGCATACCTATTACAAATCACAGATAACCTAGCCCTTATGTGATCAGCGGATGATGGAAAAAGTGGGTTTGTACAGAGTATTGCTATTATTCTGAAGAGCTATGGGAAAGACGTGATTGCAAGTCCTTAAGGGCCCGCTCCACTTGTGAACGGGTTTCCTCGTACGCCCATAACGAGCAAAACACCACATTACTGAGATCTATGCGATCCTTATTCGAAACTTGACTTCGTATTCGATTTTCGGCCTGAAATACTTTATGTTAAAAGCTGTAAAAAGCCGTAGAACAGTGGGTTCTAACTGGATCGACACGGTACTTGTACTAGATCAGATGACCGATCAACCTTGGAGCCCACTCCTCCATAATGGAAAATTAGCACAGGGAGGCACAAAAAAGTACGACTAATAAGACAACGATACCTGTTCTTGTGGGAGTCCGTCCCTATCCATGATTCGTCGTACCATTTCTTCGTGTGGAACAAATACGGTCCATAGCTCATTCATGTAGAGGTGCCATTGTGCCTCGACAATAGCAGCGGCTTCAATCACTGAATCGATATTGTTCAGTATCCACAAAGTTTACAAAGGGATTTGGAGATTTGATGAACATTTCATTCTATTTTCTGTAGAACACTAATCTTTATCGAATTCAGAAACTGGACGAAACTGATTCTCCAGCATGCTTATATGATAGTTTTGATTACACAGCGAACTATTTCAATCAAACGGCAATCAAAATGTTATAATTCTGCGTGAGTGGTGAACAGTAAAACGCACCAACAACTTCACTTTTTGAAGTTGCCACAATAGCCTCAATTTTCTTCTTCAGCACGGGCCACACTAATCCACTTAAAGTTTGCAGTTTCACCTGTAAGCAGCAGAAGCAAATAAGGCTATTCAAACGAAAAATAGCCCTACAACTCACTGGATCAGCGAAAACGAGCTTCCCTAAAGTCTTCCTGTCAACAACCCCGTCTTTGACCACGCCTTCAAAGTTTTGGTTGATCAGATCTATAAGTTCACTTCCAGGTTCATAGCAGCTGTGGGCTAATTTGTCGCAATCGATTACCTGCAACATAAATTGAAACCATCATCGTAGTCGGTTACGAAACCCCTGGATCAGGGTAGAAGTGAAATGAGTAAAGATGATTGGAACATATAAAATATACACGATATCACACAGGAGGGACCTCCTGTTCCCAGACCCTTTTCGAAGAAAACTTCACTAAATTTTAATAAGCTTTTAAGGTTCTCACTGGAAGTCGTAACGCTTACAAACTATACAAGACTTTGATGACGTGAAATTTACAAACAATATAGGACTTTGAAGAAAAGAGTGACGGAAGTAAGAAAAATTGAAAGGATCCCGATTACCTCGAAATCAGGCTGCTCTCTCAAAATTTTGGCGATGTTGCTTTTACCACAGGCAATTCCACCACATAATCCTATTATGTACGGTCGTTGTGGCCGTTCAGGATGTGGTGTTGGCGGTCTCAGTAGTTTGCCAAGATCATCTCTGGAAACAGTGTCAGAAAACTTGGATCTATTTGCTTAGAAAATCACTCTGTTCGAATTTGATCTTACCCATAATAGAGAACGATGTTAATTTCCTAAGAATGTGCAGTCTTTAAACGATGCTCTTAAAATATGGAAAAGTGTGGTTAAGACCCCGAATCTGAAAGAACTCTAGACTCAATATCGCATGCATACGCGCCTTCACACATGAAGCTCAAATCTGATTCCCGAACCCACGAAACGATTTTTCAGATGAGCATGCGAATATTTTCCTTCATGACATTCTCCACTTCTATCCAAGTTTCACTGAGCGTGGATGGCAAGGTGAACAAGCAGAGCTGAGGGATGCAACGGATAACGGCACTTTGCCTCGCAGTTGCGAGTTTAGGGTTAGAAATATGAAACAACCACTCCGTATCGAACCCACTCATTGAATCAAGCGATTAAACGAATACACATACCGTCGTCGGCTTGAAGAGCTTATTTTGGTTTCTTTGAGCACATCGTCAAATGCCTCTAGGAGATCAATCGTAATCATATCCAAATGGGACATATTTCTTTCCTGGAAGATAATTAAAAGACAATTAGATGACGCAAAAAGATCACAAGTGGCATTGATAAGACACAAGAAGCCAAATCATATAAAGCAAATGACATGCTGCCCGTGAACTTCAAACATTCTACGCACATAAGCGATAACCGGATGCTGAGATAAGATTGAATAGAAAAAGAGAAGAGACAAAACCCGCCTTTCTCACACGATTCACAGCTTCTCCTCCTTTGACCGTTTCCTGACTGACAACAATCGCCTAAATACTATCTTTCTGTGGTTCTTTTTATAAGCGTACTTTCATCTATCCTATGTTGGTTGATCAGACCTTCAGCATTCAACTACCAAATCGAACAAATAACCATAACATGATAATTATTTGCTCACTTCCAGATCGGGAATACGAATAGAAGGGCCAAAAGGATCTTCAATCGGTTCGGCAATACAAGCAACAGTATCGGCCACATCGTAAACGAATTCTTCGACTGCTCGTGCTCTAGTGGAAATTGGCTCGATCAGTTCCCATAGCGACTTTTCTGAGGTGAGAATAAGCTCAACTTTGCGGAATTAGGATGAGTAGAGAAGTCATCAAACAGATGCTTACTTTCGATCATCTTTTTGTGTGTTACTCCGCAGACAACACTCTCCTTTGCTAGCAAAGCGGCTTTGGAGAGCAGAACCTTAAATTCTAATAATATACGTAGACTCTTTTGCTGTGCTGATTCGTCTCAAGCATAATGTACTAGATCTTAACAGTATTAAGGATATATGCCCAGTAAATAAATGACTAATCATCCGTAAAGAAGGATGCAAATAAATTGCAAACAAAAAAGATAATTACCTTGTGACCATTGTGTAACCGATCAAAAGTGCCTCCCAGCACGACCTTTTTGTACTTCGGCTCAATGACTGAGATGTCCTGCACTTTCTCGTCCCCAATAAGATGGCCATACTTGGGAATCTTTCTGCCAAGTAGAACGCGAACGTCTAGCTGAGGACAATGAATGGATGATTGCAGGTATAATGACGGTAATACTTCATCCAAGTCAGGCCCTTGGACCCTAAAATATTCCACTGGAATACCAACCTACGAAAATACTTCATGATAACTCAGGAGGTACAAAAAAAACAAAGACAATTTCAGACTTGGGATTCAGGTTTTACCATTGAAACACGATAGAAAAGATGACACGAAACTGACTAATATTTTGCTTAAGCTTTGTATCAAAACAAGTAATTTTTACAATTATTTAGTACAATACAATTATTCAATACAATTATTTTACAATTTTGTTATGGAGTCAATGCCAGTCAATGAAATCTCGTTGATTTTACAGAACTTAAAAACCAATCAGAAGTAGCATGTGCATCCTGAAAATTTGATCTTTTCAGCATTTTTTGAAACAACTCAACGAAAGTAGATTGTTCATGCATTCACTTGAACGGACTTAACTATCAGGTAAATGTGGATGCAAACAAAAAAAAAATTCGAAGACCCAGCTTGCTGTCTTGTATTGTCTATTGCACTATTAAGAATAACTTGTCATTGAACGAATACTTTTCCATTACCAAAAAATTCATTGAGGTAGAAATTCGTCCGAAAACCATTGACGAAAACTGATCCGAAAACTTCTTATCATCCAACTTCCAATGATAATTAATACTGTATAGCTAATTGTTACGTTTACGAAGGCTAATGGTACGAAATAATGCCATCTAACATGAGTGGTCAATTCAAAATCCAGCGGCGAACGCATTCTCAATCGCTATCGCTCAACAATGGGTATCTGCTGATTTCTCAAGGGAATGGTTTACAGATCCAAATAAAATAAAAAACATTAGAAGTAAAAAGTGTAAAAAGTTTGATAAAATTACGTACCGTATATAAAGACGCGATTTAACGGACTGAGCAGCATTGATGAGTAACGACTTCAACGATGGAAGATTGAGCGCCGATAGCACCAACAGACCGACCTCAGGCATTTCTGAACACATCTAGGACGAATGAATGCGCAAGTCGAGAATGATGGGGCTGATCATTCGGAATCGTTGGGGTTGGCGCGTCAAGTGTGGCGGTGGGCGACCGACGTCGCTGATGGCCGCTTATCGCCGTCCCGGGCACTCATACGATTCGGCCCTTTCATGCTGATGCAACCCTTACTCAAGATTTTATCGACGCCTAGCCCGATATCTGATCTTTTTCGTTTTTCGGAAAATATTTTTGGAAATCGAAAGTCTTCAAAATAATTTTGTTCCGCTTCTCTTGAGATGTTCACCTACTCTCTGTTTCCTAATCTATACTCTTTTTGTTTCATCTTCTTCTATTCAAACTTGACTGTTCGCTTGCCTTTGCTTATTTTTGTTGTTTGATTCGTAGGCATGCATACGGAAACCAATCCTCTTCTATGGGAACAAAAATTCAGTCGGGAGCTGGTTACAGCAGTAAACAGACGTGAAATGAAATGTAATGGACGCAGAAACTACCGGACAAGGTGGTCCCTTTTACGGCATAATCTATTAGAATACGCAGATCTTCAACCCGGCATATATACGACACATGGGAAGGAGGGTTAGGTTGATGGGCAGTTATGTGGGTTGAATTGGGCTATGAACGCATCTTCTATTTGGGACCCACAACTGGGTTATGGTAGGAAACGAGTGCTGCCCTGAACTTTCGTATCACTGTTTCGGGTAGTTCCTTCAAGTTCACAGTTAATACTCTTCCATATAATAGATAGGAGGGGATGGGGTAAGGTAGCGGTGCTATTCGAAGGTCTAGATAATGGTGGTTTGTGGTCCGACCCCGAAAATGGTCGTTAAAGAACTTGTGGAGTCCTTGATAACGGCATAATGGCCCATTAAACGGTTTGTCCTAGGACTTGTTTCAGGGATATGGAAAAAAGTCCTGAATTCCTTCCGGAATACCCGTAGTCACGTATGATTCCCGAGGATTAGGTGAACTGCTCCTTACGTACACAGTTTTTATCGAGCTTCAAAAAGGAGGATGTACCTGCCTTCGGTTACATATACATATACAAAACGCGGGGTGATTCGAGAGCAGTAGGAAGTTATGAGGACAAAGTTTTCATCGTTGTTGACAGCTTTTTGGATACGCTGCTGCTCAGTGGTCGGGGGTTGGTGCTCCTCACTAGTTTTGTGAAGTGTTGTTACTTGTGAATAGTGCCTCGTGTTTCCAGCAGTTGCCATCACAAAATGACGTTTTGCTTTCGTTTGTTAGGTTTTTCCCGATTGACAGTTGTCTCGAAAATTTCCGTGATTTCTGAACATCGGCCATACCTTTAAGTATGATTCTCGAGCCTTCTTATGAACTGTTACAGCATTGCGGAATACTTGCAGTAATGCTGTCGTAATAAAGAAGTAACCGAAGCCTACCGAAAGCCTGTTTTACGTATAATGCTGGTATTAGAAATCTTAGCACCTGCCCTGATCCGGAATTTCGCCCTAAATCATGTATTGATAGGGCTCTTAGAATCTACGTGTATAATAATTCATTCTATACCAACGTCATTGTGCAGTTTTTCCACGATCGGTAGTACCGTAGAAAGTTGTGCACGGTCTACCGAATCGCCGATCAATACTTGCCCAGGCCAGTTATGCGGTTAATTGGTTGCAAACTCGTGTGGGAGGATCAATACACTGACTTCTAAATTGGCTGGTCACAGCAATTCATTGTGTAGGGTACATACATAATAGAAATGCTACCATGATTTTGAATGGAAGTTGAATGTGGGCGCACATTTCAGAAACAAGGATTAAAAACTTGGTACGGTATTAATTTTCCGTATTCAAAGCGATATTATTCCCTGTTTATGGAAAGATATTTCAAAGAGGGATTGCTTTCAAATGGAAAACACGCGATCGCGCCATGTCTTTTGCAGTGGTGCTGTGTCTAATTACGATAAATTTTGGAAAGAGAATGTGTGGAAGTGGTACTAATCGTGGAATGGACGTAATTCTATCAGGGAGTATGAGAAAGGCAGTGTATTATTGACAGATTTTTCTTCAAAACATTCATGACGTAGCTTTCCCATATTCCTTATCAAAATAATCATTACTCAATCTATTGCGAAAAAATAGTCGATGAGATCACTGAAACAACACTGACTGAAGTCTTTGTAAGGTTTTCTGACAGTCAAGCCTGCTTCTGGAATGCGCCTTAACATTCGACTTCCACTAAGAATCGTAGCGGTGTTTGAAAGCGTATGTGGGTACACAGTGATGTGCGATGGCCAGCGATGTACTAGTCGGTGCTTTCATACTCCCAATCTAATCGGGTACAATTAACAGGAGATATGAATCCGGCATCCGACCCTCCGACGATGTACGTGAGGATATTTTCCACCACTTTCGTCCACAACTCGATAGGTGTTTCTTCTACTCAATTGTCTTCGAATGTGTGAGTATGCGAGCTTGACAAATCTTTTATTGAAGGCAGTCCCGATCCATCTCAAATGTAATTCGAGACACACCGGTAAGTACGGTATATTTTCGTCACTCTGGGAGCTCGTAGAGTACAGTATAAACTGGCGCTGGTATGATTAGCAAGTAAAGAGAGAGTAAATGAATAAGAATTGCTTGAAATATGAGACATAAAGATAAAGCAGTGTTTTGAAAGAAATGGCAGGAGATGGTGTGGTGCAAAGTGGCGTACTACAAATCATGTGCTGGAATCAAATAACGGTCTGCTCACAGCTCAAGCTAACTATGGATTCTGATAGAACTCGAATTAGAATGATGATTCCAAATGGAACCGGCATGCTCACCTGAAATTGCTGTTGATTGACGTCAAAAACTTTCCCCTTCATCGTAATGAGCAGAGTGAGAACAGAGAAAGCGAGAAAGCGAGTGTAGATAGTTGAGAAAAAAATCAGGAAGAGAGAAGTGAGCAAGACACAAAGAGGAAGGTAGAGATAGGGTCACCGAGAGTGGGGGAGACAGAGAGAGTGTATGTAACTAGGAAGAGACTGTTTCACGCCCCCGTTGTCTCAGAAAGTTAATTTCTTCTCATATTTCCTCAAGCGGATGTTGAGTTTGATTAATTTGGACTGTCTTGCGCTAGTTGACAGTTCTTTACGGTTGCACTCTTCTTATGAATTTAGGAGGCCTGTGTGACGTTGTTCTCGTATTGTCATATCCACCCCATAGAAAAAACGCAAGATGCGTTTTGGATAGAGGCAACCATATTTCCTCTCGAAAAATATTTCTGTACTCGAAGGGCGGAGGTGGTGCAGTGGCAAGTGGCGCACTACCACACACGTATGGTCACCGGTTCAGATTCTGGATAGATATTCGCCCAGGCCAGCCAAACCTTACATCCCTCCGGGTTGGTTAATTGGTACCGGACTCGTCTGAGATGATAAAAACACTGTCTTGTAATCGGCTTGCCACGGCAAGTCATTGTTTGGGCCACATACGCATATAGTACGCCATTACGATTCTGAATGGAAATCGAATGCGGGGCGCATCCCCTAGACGGGATTGATCAACGCCAGGGACTTCAGCATTCGAACTAAAAATTACATTTGGAATATCTTGCCAGCACATCTTATTACATATAAGAGATTTGCACATTTTCAATATAGAAAAAATCTTGTTTTATATCGAGTACAATACATCTTCCACCATAGAATGGATCCTAAATACCTTTTGGCTAGTTTCTGTTGATAGCTTTGCTATTCATTCATTTTCATTATTTTAATGCAAAGGGGTCCTAGGCAAACGTGCACTCCATTCTCCAGTTTTTTGGTAGATAGTTTCTCCATTTTCTTATCTTTTCAGCGCTTTCAACCTGCAGGAATCGCCTTTATCAGCAGAAAATAGCAGATCTTTCACCATTAGTCGCCAGTCATTACGTAAAACTAAGCTAAATTGTTTATTGGTGCCCTGTTCTACAAAAGCCTACCACGAGTTGGTCACATATTTCAATCATTCTTGATTTCTCTTTATTCGTTACCACTCAAACCGACGGGAACGAAAATTTAGTAAGGGAACTCAGTTTCCACAGTCCACAGTGATACTGCTGCCGTCTGCTTGCCCAGGTCCTTTTTTCATGCTTCGTAATGTGACAAAATTAGGACGCGTATATCCAAATAGAAGTACGACGTGGAATGGAAAATGTTGTCCGTGAGGCTATGCACTCTTTGCGTTATATTTCACCAGGAGTTCACTGTACGAACTCGGTTCCCGTACCAATTTTTCGTTCTTTTTTGTCTTATCGACCGGCTTACACTTGGCTCTCTTCCTTCCTTTGACGAAGTCGGAATGCCCGGCTGATCTGAGGCTTTTCTCTTTTCACTAAAAGACATTCTATATTTCTGACCATAAGAGAGGCAGTGCCTCCTATGTATTGTGCAGTACCGTAATCCAGGTGATCGACCAAATCCTCGAATCATACTTATTAAATTGTCGATAAAGACGTTCAACGAGAGAAATTCCGTTACCAATGACCCTTCTCATAATCGTGAATGTGAACTACTGATCGAGATTATTGGACTATTCGATTGATTGAAATTGTAGAATTACTGCTAGTCGGAAAGGTTTGTCTGTCTAACATGGCTAAAGTAGCAAAACCTTGATACGTAGTTGTCGTAGTTGAACAGCAAAGAGTAAACCCATTTTTGCTATTTCGTATTCTACTGGCTACTGTCAGTGCCTGTAACTGATGCTGTCAACTTTTCCCATAGCATATTTGGTACGCCTCTAGCTCTTAGATCGCTTTAGGATTCATGTCCGATGGTGGAGAAACTTACAAAGTTCCACCTTTCCAGGCTGATTTAATAAAGAATCCATATCCAATGTGTGGGTGAAGGTGGTGTAGTGTCAAACGAATTAGCATTGCACATGTATGGCCTAGGATAGAATTCCGATCCACGCGATCGTCGTGCCAATCAAGCCTTCATACGCCGGAAGTCAAATGCGTGGCGTATCCCAGAATAGGATTGAACAGTGTCTAAAGCTTTGCTTCTGTGTTGTACTATAAGTATGAACCCATAGCAGTACTCTCATGAGCTGTTACAGTCAGGGCTATCTAACATTGCCGGCTAAAAATGAGTAAAATTTTCGCCTACCGAAATATGGGCGCTATATCTTTACTACCATTGAAATGTATTAGGTTGATGCATAATTATTGCGGATTTTTTCGCGGCTTCTTTTCTCCCGTTAAAATCAAACTTTTAAATTCAGGATTTTTGTAGAAATAATCTTCTCGCTTTTCTTAACAGAAATATGTCTAGAAAGTCATTTCATATACGCTAAATAATGCTCTATTGCTTCGAGAAATGTTGGAAGGCTGCATACTCAAAACGTGTTCTCAACAAACTTTTCGGCGATGTAACAGTCAGCCAAAGCCGAATAAAGAATGGAATTTGCTTCTACGGTCGCCTTATTCACCAACGGGAACTCCTATGGATTATCACGTCAATCGCTCTTCGAGAAATCGGTTAACGAACAGAACTTTCGATGAAGTGGATGGCTTGATGGCCAACGTCAAGGCGTGATCGCCTCCAAGAATCGAAACTTTTTCGCCTGTGGAATCCGATCGCCTAGCAAATGAGAAGCAGTGCTTGACGTAGATGGTGGATAGGTTCCGGAGCAATTATTTGAACATGCCTTTGCTAAATATTTCTATAGTTTCTTCGAGTAAAATTTGCTGAAAAAAATCCGCAATAATTATGCATCAATCTAATAGTTCTGCATTGTTGCACAGGGCTATATTTCCCTTCAGTGATGCTTCTTGCTTCTAGGCATGCTTTAAAGGCGTAAGAAATTTGATGGTAAACGTTGTAGTGGCTTCTCGCTGATCGTGGAGTAGGCAAATTTCGTTGTCAACTGCAATTACGACTGTTGATGAAAGCGAAATGAGATTTTCCGGTTCT